TTTTGAGTGGGCATTGTATGGAACATGTGAAAGAAATTTACTGAATGAGAAAACTGTCAGAAGTGGTGTGTGTAAATAAAAATAAAATCACAACACTGATTTTCTGGGGTCGCTGGTCACTCCGACAAACAAGACAATAACCAAGACCCCCCCAAGCTCTAATCACTGAACTCTCACAGACTCATTATGGCATCATCTGTGAGCGTCTGAGAGCAGGTGGGTGTGAGGGCTCTAAACACTGTGTAACAAATCGGACAGCACTGTGAAATCTTGTTCCATGCACAGACACATTTCTAATGTTAGAGGATGTGTCTAGTTGAATGAAGTGTTTTCACTCCCCGTTTATAAATAAAACTGTTCTGTTAAATCCAAATCAACATATTGTGAAGTCATTATCCCAAGTCATAAAAGAACCACAGTGCAACAAAATGTGTATAAGTAAAAGGAAAATATCATCTTGCCATGTTTTAGTTATTTCCCCTTTTTCCCCTGATGTGCAATTCCACTGTCATTGGTCATTATGCATTGTCAGGTTTCCCATAAGCAAGAGTTGCAATCTAATGGAAAATGTGCATAAAAAGGTTAAAAAAGTCAAACAGAGAGACATCAAACACTTTCAAGTGGGACCTTTGAAGTCCTTTAAAAGGATAAAATTGTCAACTGACACTTTCAACAGTGTTGCAGTGCTTCAAAACAACAGACAAAGCCCACAGTTCCTGCAGTACAGTTGCTCATGTCTCTTTTTAAATTGAATGAGACTTGATATATAAAAATTACAGTGAATACATCCATATCAGAGTTTAAATACTCTCATATATAACATTGATATCTGTATTTTTGATAAACTTACAACCGTAAATTAGGAAAATGTTCCGTGTCTCTCAGTGTAGAATATTCTAAATGTGTTTCTTATTCAGTGTCTAGTTGCCACCACACACACACACACACACACACACACACACACACACACACACACACCACCATGGTTGTGCTGTCTGAGAGCTGTGTCTTTGCCCCAAGTCATCACTTTCTAATCCTGTTTCACTGCTCTCTTGATCTCTCCTCTTAACTTCAGCACTCATTCGCCACCCTGAATCTCAGATCTTGAAACAGAAGCTGCAACCTGCTCTCTGGCCCTACAGTCAGAACCCAACAGTCTGTCTGAAGTTAAGAAAGTAGTCAAACTGCACATAGTGGAGCCTATAAGCTCTGCGGGCTGTAAACAGCTGGGGGGGGGGGGGGGGGGGGTTCACAGTTCACACTCATAACTGCAAATCACAATGCTTGCAGGAGATGTGATGGGAATGAAATGGCCTAGAGGTATGGATATCCAACTGCGATGAGTCCGAGACTCTGCAGTACTTCAGTCAAAAATGCTGTCACAAGCAGGTACCACAAATAACTTTTTCATATTATCTTTCATTCGATAACAGCAGCAACGGTTTCATGGAAATTATCCATAATAATCTGCGAAACCCCTATATGATCTGTTCATTTTACTCAGTTAATTTTACTGATTAAATTGCATTGTGTTACCACAGATTAGTGTTTAGAGAAAGAGGGGGGGAAATGACAACTGATTGTGATTGGTCTGAAAAGTCCTCAGTAGTAAAAATAAAACATTACTCCCACTGAAAGAAAACTTTATATGCTCACAATCTAAATATACTGTTTATCTAAAGGTCAAGAAGGACCTTGTAAACCCTGTGACTGAAACAATTGGTCTCATCAATGATCAATTTAAGTCACTTATCAAGCAAAAAGGCCAAACCTTGGCAGGTTCCAGCTGAAAATGTGAGGATTTGCTGCTTTCCCTTGTTTTATATAAAATTGTGTATTTATTTTTCATTAGTTCCTCAGGTATAGGATAGGTTCACCTTTGCAAGTCTGTCTTAAATACATGTTTATCCATACTGAGTAGGAAGAGATCCCATCCTAATAAGATTTTCATCTAAGTGATGGGGGGCAAAATCTACAGTCCTTGTTCTGTGAAAAAATTGATTTGAAAGTTTCAGTTAATACAAAGCTTCTGTCAGACTTAGTCATATCAAGTGGAAGTTACAGTCTTTTTGGCACAAAAGTTTCTCTTCTTGTTTCCATAGACAGTGTTTCCTTGATGAGCTGCTGCACAAGCACATTAATGCCAAGAGGGAATATTGTACTAAAAAGATTAACTTTGGAAGATAACTATTTGATTTGAGAGTCAGACTGCTGTACTTTGAAATTCATTTCTGCACAGAACAAGGACTGTGGATTTTGTCTCCCATCACTTACATCTAAATCACTTAAGGGATCCCTTCATGGCCAGTAAGGACAAGAGGAACAATTACAACGACTATTACGAGTATTGTTTTATGACAGACCTAAAAAATATGAACCTATTCGTTATCTGAGCTGTAAGCTTTGCTGTCACACTTGATATGTAAAATTTTGAAGGCTGCAGATTGTCTGATGTAACTTTCGTTTATGCAACAACTCACATTATGATGAGAAGAGCAAAATCTATAGTTGAGAGGGCGAGAAGCTGCTGTCAGTATGTGCTAGAGAGGACTTTATAGAAATCTTATAACAGTTCTTCAGTAATGCTTAAGTATTCATAGAAACCCATATTCAGCCTGTCAGGTTGAACACCACGTGTTGACCCAAAAGCTTGAAAAAAGAAAAAGAAAAAGAAAAAAAAGCGTCAGCCTAGTGCTTCAGCAGAGTATAATTTTTTTAACATCTGCGCGTAAAGACACAAAAAACTGGAACTCTGCTTTGGTGTTTCAGCCTCAGGGGATTTCAGGTTTTCCACAGACTTTTGGGGGGGGGCTTTTCTTTTTGGCCGTTTCTTTTTGTTATTTTAAAAGCATTTCTCCTTTAAAGGGTCTGCTTCTCCTGACCTCAGAGTAAGTGAGCCTCGTGTCCACATTCCTGAGCCAGCGAAAGTGTCTGGCCCAGTCCAGCAACATGACACGTTACAACTACATACCAAAATAGCATCGCCAGGGGAAATGCTAACTCATTCTGTAGCTGCTCAACAAGTCAACAAATCTGCAGCACAACATATACGCTCTGCCAATGTTTTTTATGCCGGCTTTGGAGTAAAACAAGGATTATGGTTGTCAGTTTCTCAGAAGATTTTGACCCTTACACTACACTACACGACCAAAAGCCCGAAACGTGAGCTCTGGTCGTGTTCAATGACAGCACAGCACTTCACTTATCTAGAGGTCAGGTCCTCTTGCAGGCGCCTGACTGATAAGTTACTGCTGTCTCACACTGTGATGGTACACAAAGCAGGAGTGTTTTCTGAATTCAAGATATGATGGTCAGGGAGAGACACGTTAACAGAGACGATATTCCGGCAACACTGTCATTCGCATTCGTGCCAAATAAAACACAATGAAATAAACTTGTGAGCCAAGATGACTCCAAAACAGCAATTAAGAAGCCTTTCTACCTGCATAACGGCTGGTTTCCCAGTCGGAGGACGCAAACACTGAACAGTTTTTATAGTGTAATGCTGCAGATTAACTGATTATGGTGAAGCTGAAACCAAAGTATAGACGTCCTCTGTGTTGTAGAGGTAGGCTGAACAGTGATGTCAAGTTAGATTTCAACAGTAAATGAGATGATATGGGCACAGTTATCACCCCCTCCCATATGACTCCTCTGTAATTATGCAGATAGATGATCATACTGTGACCTACCTTGCACCCTGCATTTCAACAGCTGTAGTAACTGGATATACTGCAAGCTGTATTATATGTTTCGGGGGTTAAGAGAATAGTTCGACATTTTTGGATAATCTTATATTCATTTTCTTTCTGAGTTACATGAAAGGACTGATACCACTCTGCTGTCTGTGTGCTTGGTGTGGAGGTAGAGCCAGGAGTATGCCAGAACAGTAAAAAAAATTTGGCATTAAATACAAAACCTGAACTGAAAAAGGAAACACTGGTATTGAAACACTTTGGACAGAGCCATTTGCTAGCTGTTTCCCCCTACAGTTCTTCCTGGGCTAATCTAAGCTATTCATCTCCTAGCTTTAACGCTATAATATTACTAAATGCTTGGGAATAAGAGTGGTAGATAATAAGTGGCATCTTTATCTCTCAAAATGTTGAACCATAATTTTAGTTAATGTGATACTCCATATTTTGAGTTTCAAACACTGAATGGCTTAAAAGGAGGCTATAACATGCATTTCACAGTACACAATGGCTGTGGTTAGCTTGAACTTGACTCAGTTGAAGTATTTCTATGTCTCTTGAGGATTTCCATTTTTATCCACTGTTTTACACCTCTACATATCTCTGGCAGCTGTACTTACTTTGAAAATCAAGGTTCGACATGCAAAACATAACTATAACTTTAAAACATGATGCACTATTACAGAGTTTAAACAATCCAACAGTATATGGAGCAGTCGAGCTGCAAAGGAGCAACTGACAGGAGGACGATATGATGGAAGAGACAATCGGAAACTACAACAAGAGGAGTAGAGCATACTGACAACATCGGCACACAAGTGCATTAAAGATCCACTCTGTGAATCAGATCTTACAGTTAAAAGTACAGAACAAACTTCCATAGATAGTGAGAAGAGGATAAACATGGGGATGAGGGTGGATTTGGTTCAGAGGCAAATAAATGTTTGATGAAGTAGGGATGGGCGGAATCATCCCCAAAGTATGAACAGTAAAGATGCTTATGTTGTATTCCTGAATATCAAACCAGAGCCAAAAGCATGAACACACAAAAGTATAAATGTTGACTTTTATATTAAAAGCTGCCTTATCCTGGAAATTTATTGTGATTTCTATATTAACATTTGGCAAATTTAGCTAAATAACATCTATATTCAGAACAAGTGATAAATTATGCTGATGAATGGTTCAGGTATCACTCATCAGATGCTCAGGGTTATTTGGGAAGAGATCAAAAACTAAACTTGAGTTATCATCGCCCATCCCTGCCATGCAGAGCCACAACACAGACATGACGTATGTTTGTACCTCTCTCGATGTAGCGGGAACATTTTACAGCTCGCAGACAACTCCTCTGCAGCAGAACAAGAAGAAAGAGTTACACAATGAAATAAATTACCTGTGGACCTTGTCGGCATTTAGTGACATTTATTTAATATAGCTGCTGATACAAGTGCTAATTCAATAATGACATTTTTCTACACAGTGCAGCTACACAGGGAATACCTGAGTTTGAAAACTTAAACTCAATTTAGGTCAAATGTGCTTAACATAAAGAGAAAGGAACCTTAATCACTGCACTGATTTCATTGACAAAACAAACTATACAAATATCGTAAATAGCTCTTTCAAATATTAAAACACTAATCAGTTAATACACTTTCAAAACACACTCATCACAATTCCACTAAAAATGGAGCCTTAAAATACAAGTCACACTAACACTTCCTCATTAACACAAACAAATACAGACCCAAATACTGTGTGGGTCAAGGAGGCCGTCTGAGTCCAGAGGCCCTTCAAATGTGATCAAGAAATGCTGCTTTTAATGCACAAATTTGGTGACACCTCTGGTGAATCATTTGCATCATTTAGCGTCCCTTAATCAACTGCACAGTGTTAATTTATTTAAAAGTGCATTCAGGTGGTCCTCTTTAACTCTGAAAATATGACAGGGCCTCTTTGAGTTTAAAAGGCATTTGTATAAATATATAATTTAACTAAATGGATGGAAAGCTACTACATGTTGTAAATAATGGAAACCACTACAACTCTGTTTATGTCAGCAGCAGCCTGTTACAGAAACACAGCCTCTTCATCAAATAACATATTCCATTTGAACAGGGACCTGCATGGGTCAGGTGATATGAAGTACTTTAAGACAAGCTGCACACAGCATGAGAGCACTTGAGCACTGAACACTCATTTTGTTTATGGGCCTGAAGTGGCTGTTAATCAAGACTCAAGAGCTGCCGGCTGCCTCTTCTATCAAGAGATGTGCAGGCTCCTGTCTCAGTGTGTATGGTAGCCCTACGACTAAATCTAGAATTTCTTCCAGAGGTCCTTCAAACCTTGCCTTTGGACTAAGTGATTTAACTCTAACTGAGCGTCTAGTCATCACAGAGGGATGATGCAGAGCTAATGTCTGGTCCGAGCTCTGACAGTGTAAATGCATTAAACAAATGCCGTCATACCATTGTTTTAGGACTGCTGTCAAAGTCCCAGCATTCTTGCTGGATTGCAGATCTTATACAGCAGGTCTCCGTGGGCGCTGACGTGCCAATGACATCACTTGAAAGGGCACAGCTTTCCACTGTATGACTGGTATACAGTTTTAAACAAACCCTCTGTCTAACCTATAAAGAGATAAATGTAAAGCGGCCGCGATCTCTCATCATGTGAATTACACCTTCCTGCGGTCACAACTGTAGTTGCGGTGTAAACGGACTTCTGGTGGAACTGGGTCAAGCTTTACGGTTCACAAATAACACATTGTTCTCTATAAGAATGTAAACAAAGAAAACAGCGCAGTATCACATGGGAACCGATGTTAATTTTCTGATCGATTTCTCCAAAAGAGATGTTGCTGTTTAACCTGATCACCACAAAGTTCACTTTTCAAGCATTTTGCCATCAGAATAAATCACTTCCAGACAGCATGAGTGAGCGAACCGTAAATGTCAGATACAAATTTCTAACTTACTCCATGCTCCGAGGATCTGGATGCTGATTTGGGTTCAGATTCCACTCACCACTCCACTTTTTGTCCTTTTCTCCTGTCCGGCTTCTTCACCAAAAGTCCTGCTTGCAAGTTACATTTCTGGGGGAAGACAAATCACTTCCGACTCCAGATTCCACCCGTTTCCCCTGCAACAGTACTCCTCTCAAGTCAGTTGTTGTACTCCGGTCTGCCTGCCTTTCTTTGTCCGCGGGTTTCCACGACGAGCAACTCCGCGGATCTGTAGTCCCCGTGCGTAATTACGCACCGTGAACCGTTTGGCTCAGCTCTGCGAGCCCGACAGACGGAGGAATGTCGATGAAAGTCGGGCAGCAGACTGCTTTTGGCTCAAACCTCTTCCAGGACTTGTGCTGTGCTCCCCTCCCGCCTCTGTGCCAGATCACACTGGGATCCCATTCAACTCTCTCGGTGGGACCGTGGAGCCTCTTTAGCGCCATCTGATGGCCACATTGCAAACGACAAACCACCTCCCTCCTCTTTATCCATCCACTTAAATGTCAGAATGTGAAGTATAATATGTCGACATGGCCTGCAGACAGTCTTGAAAGCCCCCCCTCAGCGCATATTTTCTGCATGCACAACGCTCGAAGCATCTGAAATTAGAACAGAAGCCAAAAGGCTGTTTTAAGCTTCAGATACAGTGATCAGTCAGTTGTACACTCCTGTACCTACTGTCTGTGTTGATCTCACGTCATCAGATAATATTCAGTATAAAGCTGTTTATGAAGAGCTAAGGTAATCGAACACAATGATGGATGAAATCACATGGAAACGTCATATCTTGCTCTTGGTGGGATAGGAAAAATAAGACTGGAAATCCGATTGTAAAAATTTTCCACAAAGCTGACTGACTCACTGCACTGTACATTAAATCCCTACAGAAATATTATGCACTAATGTAATGTTTTATTCATTAGTGAGCAGAGCAAATTTCATAGCAATGATTATGTCATCAAACTGTGTGACTGTGTTCATCTTACTGAAAACCACATAATATCAGGGATAACAAACTGTAAATCTGATTCATACTGCCCAAATATGGCAGAAGATCCTTGAAATATCAAGAAAAATACATGTAAGCATTCACACACCAATGCACAAATAAAAAAATTATCAAATGATTTAAAATATACAGATTGTTTGATCATATTGGATACTGAATATTGAAATACCCTGTTAAAGTGTCAGAACCTTCCTTATAAAACTGGTGAAAACAATGCTTTAACACGTTCTCTTCACTTCATTAGGTTATACAGGCCTGGTTTGGAGCCACCACGATTTAAAATAAATCCCTTATTTGCATAAATATAGGCTGAGCATGGGAGAGCAGAGCATCTAATGCAGTGGGAATGTTACGAGAGCAGCTCCTGTGCACTAATCGTGCTGCTCAGTGGCCTGTTACAGAGATGCAGCTGACTGCTTCTCTGCTGCAGAGAGGCAACAGGGGACATCAGATCTCTGCCTTACATGCAAACAGCCCTCATGTTCATTTAGAAAGACACTACTGAGCTGGTCCAAGGCAGTTTGCAGCACAGCTGGACAGTCTGGGCAGGATGGAGCTGAACCTCCAGGCTTCTGCCTTTAACACACAGAGCATTAATCACCTCTGGCAACCCAGTGTGCACACACAGATGGGTCTCCTTGGTGAAGATTGCTCTCTTTCTCCACTCAAGCAGCAGCTGAATCAAACTCATAGTGTCTTCTTCACGCTCACAGTGGTAGGTATGACAGAAAGACAAAGACCCGCATGATGTGATAAACAAGGCATCATCTGTGCTGAAAGTAAAGTCTGGACAGAGTGTTATATCTTACATTTTACCATTTTCAAAAGAAACTGTTTTGCAATTTATCTCCTTGCCTGGACTTAAATTAATTAACTCTTAACTATTGACTTTTAGAAAAACGTGCTTTTCAAAAGGACCAGTTATTTCAGGTCATTCTGAGGAACAAGTGTTATTCAGCAAAGACTGAAGGTCATAGTTCAGAGTTAAAATCCTCAGGGGAGGCTGGAAATTCACCACAACACACATTGGTCCCATTCTGATAATCAACAAAAAAAAGGTCAAAAGGTCACTGACATTTTTGGGCTGATATGATAAAATTTTGTGAGGTAATATTAAGGCAACCACAGAAAAGGATCAGTACATAATGTTAGGATAAGAAATAAACTTATAATAAATAAACATTATTTTTTATGATATCTGTGATACATTTTTGTGGTGAGTGGTAATTTATCACGCAATTTATCATAATTTTTCATAAACAGTTTAGAAATACACATCTTATTCTTTTCTTTTTTGTTTGTGTTGTCTTTCCTGTTGTAGGTATCAGTACACATTATGGCCAATTGCTAGGCTGAACCTGCCTTATTTATGTGATGAATGATATATATACATATATTTGACTGAACTCCTGATGTGTTAAATTTAATATGTACCTTTATAATACAAAACTTGATGTTTCTAGTTCATTTTGCCCATTTTCAAGGCATGCTTTGTCCCCCATCTGGTAATATCAAACAGTGTTGTCCAACTCAGCTCTGATTGGTCCAGCTTGAGAGTAGATTAACTCTCATTCATGTAGATCACAATCACCTGAGTGACGCACGTGTTTATACATTGCTTGTTCTGCTTTGTGACGGTGGTTTGACGATGTGATTCCCGATGAAAATCTCTGTTAGAGCGAAACGCTGCTCAATTAAAATTGCTGGAAGCCATTAGTCTGGTGTGTGGTATCTTTTGTCAAATTCTTGTCATTAGCTTTTTGATCCAGCACCTGTAGAAGTGTTTTTTGGACGTGCTTAGCCTACCCCCTACACCATGTGTGTATTTTTGTTAACAGTCGTAAAAATATGTTACCAAAGTCAACGTGGATTTTATTTCAATTGATCTTTAAAAATGTCTCCAGGTCCAAAAACTTATATTTATTCTGATATTTTTAGTGTTGATGATTACGCCGTCATTTGACCTCACCGGGAGAGGGCAGCAGTCTATGGCAGCAACACGAAGGAGGAGGAAAAGACGTCAGATTGGGATGTCATCATAAAGCGACCATTGCTGTTACGCACGAGGATGATGAACTCTTTATTAAAACAAAGTGTTTCAGTGATTATTTTGTAAAACAAACTGTACAGAAGTACTAATATAGCTTTAAAAAGCGGGATAAATCAGAAATGGCCGAGTTTTCGTCACTGGGTCTCTCAGACTGGCTGGTTAAGCAGTGTAAACAGCTGGGGATCAACAAACCCACTCCTGTACAGGAGAACTGCATGCCAGCGATACTACAAGGTAAGACATCCTTTGTTAAATCTTTTGTTTAAAAACAGATCACCAGGCTCTTTAACGTTAACTGTAATGTAAATATCTTCTCGACTACCTTTGTTTGAACGGCCGAATCGGGTGTCCTGACAAGCAATGCAGATCTCCATTGAAAAATCGATCAATTTAATGGTCAGTGCTAATGGTTAAGGTAAAAACCAAAGGTAAACACCTGGAAGAAGAAACATACTTCAAATGAGCAAACACTTTTGTTCTCTCCATATAAATGAAATGTGCCGATCAGCCCTTAATTTCATATTTTATAGAACTAGTGATTACCCTGTTTTCAGCTACTCGTATAACTTACCTTGGTGCTTTGCCTCAAAATACACATTAGTGGTCGTCAACTAACTTATAAAATGTGAAAATGTTCCCCAATCTGACTGCTGTCGAATTTGCCAGAAATATCTCTAGATCAGAAGATTTTGAAAGTGGTGATCTTCAAGGAGTGTAAGTTTGTACAAACTTAAAGATAAAATACATTATCAGATTTTTTCGTGGAGTTTGGTACGGGTCACTTGATGAGGTAAGTAAGTAGGTGAAATGCTCCAAAGTCACCACAAGGCATGTAAGAGAGTAAAGCAGAACTCAGAGTAAGTAAATTAAGTTGTTGTGTGTTCCCTCCCAGGTCGGGACTGTATGGGCTGTGCTAAAACAGGAAGTGGGAAAACGGCAGCATTTGTGCTGCCAGTGCTGCAGAAGCTGTCAGAGGACCCATATGGCATCTTCTGCTTGGTGCTCACTCCCACCAGGTCAGTGCTTCAAAGTGCCAGACTCAGAGAGCAAGCTGGAAAACCCTGCTAGTCCACATTAAAACACTTACAAGAAGTTACTTGATTAGAAGCAGGAAACAAACAGAATAACATTTAGGTTACGTGACAACATAGAATAAATTCACAGTAATTGGTGACATTTCTAATAGTTGAGGGTAAGACAAGCTTTCAAGTTTTCATGTTCAACACAGGCATTTCTCAATTCAGCTCAGGAGGACAACGGAATACAAAACATTTTTCAACTCTATATGTGATGTCATGCAGGGAGCTTGCCTATCAGATTGCAGAGCAGTTTCGAGTCCTGGGGAAGCCTCTGGGTCTGAGAGACTGCATCATCGTCGGTGGAATGGGTAACTACGTACATCAGTGCATGCAGCTTTCCTTTCTGTTCATCCAGCAGCAACTACACAGCCAATAATGGCCACATGCTCTGGTGACTCAAAGCTACACAAACTGCAACCAGGGAAAACTCGCTACAGTTGCATCTTTTTCCTCTTGTTTTATGGTGCTTGTTCACAATGTGTTTACAGCTCAGGTTCA